GCTCCTACCTGGGTTTCTCTGGGTTTCTCTCTTTCTGCCTATAACAATCCCATCTCTTCCCTCGCAGTAAGTACATATTATTTTCCACTTAGAGAGGACAAAATAAACCCCGCCCTGGGGACCAAGAGAGCCTTTTGTTTATTCCAGGAAAGTTGGTTATGCATAGGAAAGTTGACAGGCAGTGGGGAGGGAGGGATTGTAAAGCATTTGTGGCTCACATGGAGCCGCTAAGAAACACGTCATCCTCCTGCTGAAGTCTCATGTCCCACATCCTTTTACTCCTTAATGAACATTTGTTTATGAATGCCTGCAGGGCCAGGCAGTATCTGGGGCAGGAGGATGCTGACCTTCCCTTGGGCATTGGCCACTCCCACACATTGGGCTATGGTTTGGGGTGCCCACCTGATTGCCTTGCTTAGTGACAGCTGGAACACCCCCAGCCAACCGTGAGAAGACAGTTGGTCATCATTTACTCAACAGAGGACTGCCGAACACCATATGGGCACCAGGAAGGACCCGTCACTGGCTTCCCTGGCTCAACGTTCAGAAATCTTTGAGGTGCCGGCAGAATGACACCAAATGCCAGCCCCTTGAGTCATCAGGGAAGATCAAAGCCAGAAGGACTGTGTGGTGTTCAAGGCCAGCCTGGAGGATATACTGGGTTCCAGGCTAGTCCCACAAACATGGGGATAACCTGTTAATAACAACAATAACAAGAAAAAACAATGTGCACGCAGAATTACAAGGCCCAAAGCCACATCCCAGTGATCAGCCAGAAGGAGCGGTGTGAAGAATCCTTACTGAGGGAAGGACTGAATGCTCTATTCCTGTTTCTTGGGGTGTCAGGATCAGTTATGAATGGATGGCACCAGAGGGTCCACTCTGGACTTGTGAAGACTGAAGGAGACCACAGGGTAGCAGAGGCTCGGGCTCTAACCTAGTCAGCCCCCAGCAGCCTCCAGGGCTTTAGCCTAGTCGCTGTCTCTCTCTGTCTCTCTCTCTGTCTCTGTGTGTGTCTCTGTGTCTCTGTGTGTCTCTGTCTCTCTGTGTCTCTGTCTCTGTGTGTCTCTGTCACACACACACACACACACACACATACACATACGCACACGTGCGCACGCGCAATAGCCTCTAGGACTTGAGCCTAGTCACCTCTCCAGCAGCCTCCACTCTCCCCCAGCAGCTGTGGCTGGTCAACTCTCATGTAGTCGCTTCAGACTCTATGCCTCCTTTATAAGAGGCCCCAGGCCCAGGGAGGGGGAGGCTTTGTATATCAAAAGACTCAGGAGCTCCATGACACCAAAAGCCTTCCAGATCTCCCCATCTTCCACAAGAACTCAGTGATCAGAACCCAGCTCGGTATCCTGGTGGAAATGAAGATATTCCAGACATGTGGGTCCCTTCCTTTGACTATTAGACTGTTGTGACAGTGGACCCCGAGAAATTGGGATTTCCACCCCGGCCCAGGTATCTCCTACTTGGAGAAGGAAGCAATGAAGGGTCAGCAGTGGGCAGGACAGCACCTTGCCCGCCATGCCCTGGCCAAGACAGCTTAGCTCTGCACACTTTGTCTCTAGTTACATCTGAACCCCACATTGGGACCCCAGAGACAGACTCGGAGGCCACCGGGCCTCTTTTATTTGTTCTTCCCAATGTGGCCACACTAAATAAGCCTTCCTGCTTCTGTAATTGGTCTATTGAGGACAGTGGTTGAACCCAGCTTGTTGAAGCTTTCAGGGGCTCAGGCCCTGGTGCTAACAACCCTAGGTAGGAAGAGCCAGCCCCGGTAATGTAAGGGAGGACGTTGCAGACCCAGCCTAGCTTTTGGCCTACATCTGCCTCAGGCCCACCACATGGTTGGCAGCTCCCCCAGGAGGATCTTTTCCTTCCCTGGTACCCAGGGTAACAGGCAGCTGGTAAGCAGATGCCCCATGGTAGGGAAGAGCTTCAGCCCCAGGATGGGAGGCTCTCCACCACATGTGGCCACAGCAGCCAGAAGCATGTCTGGCCCAGCCCTGGGCACCAGGAGCTTGGGTTCTCTACACCACTCTCTTCTCCTGGCTCCTCCTTCATCCTCGATGCCTGGGCTTCGGGCTCGCTGCCTGCAGGCAGTCTGCTGGTCAACTGTCTCATTTCAAGGGAAACTCCTACCTCAGCCAGGAAGACGGTGAGACAACAGAGGCCTTAATGGAGTACCAGTGGTGTGCCTGGGCAGGTGCCCAAGGAGGGGACTGTGGATACGCAAAGGCCTCCAAAGCAGGTTAGGAAGCCCAGTGGTCAGTGGTGATGGGGGGGCCTCAAAACCCCTGTGAGGTCAGGGTGGGTATCTCACAACGGGTACCGTCTAGTACAGGAAGAGCTACTGCTGGCCACACTGGTATCATACCATTGCTATTTAACCAGGGCTCTGAGACACAGTGCCCTTCCAGGTTTAGAGGCCTCACCCTCCACAAACCAAACAGGCCTGCAGGGATCCAGTATGTCCCTCCACACCTGGGAAGGAGGGAAAGAGAAACTACTTCTGAAGGCCTCCAAAACTTCAGTCACCATCAGAGGTCCTGCCAGGGCACGGACCCAGGGCAGGGCCCTGAGAGCCAGCGCCAGAGTGCCTGTGAGGCTCTCCGACTTTCAGCAAACTGCTCTCTGGAGAAGGCAGAATGTCTCTTGCACCTTGTGAATGAGTCAAGGAGGTGGCAGGGTCCTGTCCAGACAGCCACTGTGGGTCACTTGAAGGCAGATTTTCAGTGACTACAACCAGAGAAAATACCAGTCAGTCACTAGGAGCTACCACCCAGGCTCCAGGATCTCTGGGTCCTTCAAGGTCGGAGCTCAGTTGCTCCCAGTCCTTTCTCTCCAGAGAGAGTGGTGGTCAGTCAGAGGCTGCAGCCTCCAATGGACATTGACCTGCTCTTCTTGCTTCAGATTGTCACCTCAGCCTCACCTAAACCCTAGAGCCTCAGCCACCCTCCACCCTAGTAACTGTGAGCCACCAAAGGCCCTGACCCCCTGTGGGTAAGAAACAGTGAGTGAGGGTGTCCCAAGTGAACCCATAGTTTCTACGAAATTCTTTTCATCTTTGTTTTGATGGATGAAGCTCAATACTGGAATACTTGGTTTATGAGTCATGCTAATTACGGCGCGCGGGGGGGGAGGCAGAGGGGCGGGCACCAGGAAGAATAACAGAAAGGAGTGTGCTCAGAAAAAAATTAATGCTGTGCTGGTTGTTCTGAATAGGGAGGTTACAGCCAGGAATGAGCAGTAAGCTACCCTCACCCACTAGGACAGGCCAGCCGTGGGGCCTGCCCCCTCCTGGGGGAGGAGCTCCTGGGCCTTCATGAACCTCAGAACACCACTTTTGAGTTCTCGGCAGGGGGTGAGCAGGGAGTGAACATGTGTAAGTTTCTAGGAAGTAAATGGGACGGTTAAAAAGTCGTGTCCCCTGCCTGGGCAGAGAGAATCCAAGTTGAGTCCTGGAAAGGGAAGACATGATTTAGCTGGGATGCTTCCTGGCAGGCTGCAGGGCCTGGGGCAGGTCCTTAGGCAGAGTTATGAGGCACACGGATTAGCAAGAATCCCCTGTTCTCAGCCCTCTGCTTCCTTCTGCAGGTTTCCCTCCTCTCCAATGAGCACTGAAGGGGCCTGGTAGAGACTACACAGCTCCTCCCACACGGCGGCTCCCGTGCAGGCAGCAAAAAGTTGGTGCGCTATAAAAAGCAGAGGCCGGCAGTTTCTAAGGACTTCACTAACTCCCGGGGGGAATCCCAATGACATTTCCCAGTTTTTCTTTTTTCCGTTGTTTTTTTCTTTTCGTTTGGTTACTTTGAAACCGCATCTCACTCTGTAGCCTCGGCTGTCAGAAAACTCATCAGCCCGCTATCTGGCTCAGGATGGCTCAGAGTAGCCGCAGCCTTCCTGCCTCACAGGCTTGAGCCAACATACTCCAAGTGGGTATTTGGTTGTTGCTGTTTCCAGTACTAGAGATGCAACCCCGGCCTTTCGCACGCTAGACACTACACACCCTGCTTCTGAACCACATCCCTAGCCCTGTTGTCAAAGCTGGAGCAGCATGTTCTGTGGTCTTCATTCCAAGAAATAGGGAAGGGGGGGGGGGGCAGAAAGGAATCAGAGAGGCAGCTCCCTCCCACCCTTCTGAGAGACAAAGGCGGAGCCAGGAGTAACTGGATGGGAGGAGGCTCTCCCAGAAGTCTAGCTCTCCAGGGCAGGGAGCAGCCTGGGTGGGTGCAGGGCTAAATAGGGTGGGACTCAGGTTAACTGGTAAGTTACATCTACACCCGCTGGATGCCCAGACTTGTGAGTCGAAGTGGACACAGGCTGAGCAAAGGTCCTGGGACATCTTAGAGTCTGCAGTCTTAGCTAGGGCTACTTCTAGAAGCATAGGCAGCTCTTTTAGTCACTAGGAAGGTCCATGGAGAAGGGATATTTGTTTTTTCCTGCCCAAACTGGATGCCCTCCAGGAACAGCGAGGCTATTAGAAGAAGGGGCCAAAGTCCACACTTCCTGTTCAGTGTTGGGGCTCCAGCTGACCACTGACAGATGGGACAGACCTGGATCCTAGCTGTCTCAGGTGATGTGGACAGGCATGGGGTAGAGCGAGCTGGGAACAGAGATGCTCTTTCTCCTTCCACATGCTCTAAAGAGCATCCAGGCGAAAGAGAGACACCCCACAAAACAGTGGAAGAATGTACAGTTGATCCTGTCAGCATCCTATCCTCCAAAGAGCCCGCCCCCTGCACGCTCCAGGGAGCCCCAACAGGCTGCTTCTGCACAGCCAGTCTGTGCAAGGGGGGAGTTAGCAAGAATAACTCAATGCTGTCCCCCAAACTTCTGCTCTGTCTGCCCCTTTGCCATAAGCTCCACGTCACATCTCACTCCAGAGAAAGCGTCCGCTCGGTCATGCTAGGACACCCAGATGAAACCACGAAGACAGAGTCCAGAGGCATCGAGTCCTTCCCGGACAAACCGATGACCAGGCCACCTACCTCCTTCCAGCTGAGCCGGCTGTGCCACTCGAATCCTCCCGCCTCTCAGGGCTCTCCGAGAGAGCCGTCTCTTAGAGCATCTCCCAGGGGCTGAGCCTTTTCTAGGCTAGGTCAGAGGGGAAGCACAGACGTGTCAAAGCAGAGAGAGAGAGCCCGAGGGAGAAAAAAGTCCCCCAGGGGGAAACACTTAAGGGGGAGGAAAGGGGGAGGGAGGTGCAAACCACAGCAGTCCCAACACCTTTATCTCCTCAGCTGCCTCCAAGGTCTCTTTGACCAGAAGCGGAAACGTGGTTTCTCTCAAAAGTAGAGGAAGAGAGGAAGAAAGAGGGACCAATACAAAGCGCCAACTACAGCCAGATGTGAGCTGCGGAGAAGCCTAGAACGCTCCTAGCGCTTTCTATCCAAACAGCAGCTGCCAAGGATTAACTGTGTGTGTGCCCGGCTGGCTGGCTGGCTGGCTTTCCCTACTTCTGGATGCCCTGGGGAGCTGGCACAGGCTTGGAGGGGATGGAGGTGGACACTTCTGTTTATCTAGAGGTCTTTCCAGATGTGGAGGTGGTTGTGAGCCCAGGTCAAGGATACTCCACGCAGGACTGAGAACTGCAAAAGGGGCTGAGAATCTTAATTGGTGGTAAGAGTGTTGACTTAGGCGTTCAGGCAACCCTGAGTCCCAGCAGCCGTCTCATCTGAGGTACTTTCCATCAGGGCTATTTGTACTCCAGGGACCAATGGTGTTCATAACCCTTTTGTAAGAAAATGGCAGGTTGTGTGTTCGTGCAAGTATGTCTCTGAAGGGGGTTGCTCTATTGCTCAGTTCAGAGTCTAGAGAACCCTTCGAGGCAGAGGTGAACAGGCAGCTTCCAGAAAGTCCAGGTCCTCCAATGACTCCCTGGAGTGTGGTGCTGGGCCAGATGCTTGCTCAGCCTCTGCTGGGCAGTTCTGCTCTGGACATTTCTTAATCTTACACACGTAAGACTCCTCCTGTGAGGATGATGTCCCAGGCTTCTCCAGAACAGTCCCTCCTGTTCTCCATCCACAAACACAGAGTCAGATAGCTTGCTCTGAAATCTTATCACAACTCTAAAAAAGAGAAGATTTGAACTGAGAAATGAAACTGCCCTGGCGACACCAGGCTCTGTGAGCACCTTCTCCTCTTTCCCCCCTCTCTTTCTTTCTCCCCCTCCTTCACCCTTTCCCCTCTTTCCTTCTCTCCCTTTTTCTCCCTTTACCCCTTCCTCTCCCCTCCTCTCCTCCCTCTCCTCTCTAGGCAGGAGATGCTGGTTTGGGATATCCCAGGCAAAACAAACAAGCTGCACTTTCCTACTCTTTGCTGTGCCAGCATAAAGAAGGGCAGACAGAATCTAAGGGGGAAGAAAAGGGGTACAAGCCAGTGCCCCCATCATCTCCTCCCAAGGCTTAGCATAGAGAGGCAGAGATCAAATTCCAGAATGGGCCAGGACAGAAGGAGAAGAGGGCAGATTTGACGTCAGGCAGAAGCCTGTGAATTCCCACAGGCTTCTCCAAAAATTCCAAATCCAAGTGCCAACCCATGAGAAGGAAAGATGTTACTGGCCCTCTGGTACCTCGGCAGAGCACTTAAGGACGCCTGTCGAGAATTCGTAGACGTATTCCAACCAAAGACGTGACCTGCCCCAGCCTAGCAGCCCTGAGGAGAGTTCCTGTGTCCTGGCACATATCTAAGACTGAGAAAAATCATATTCTTGATTATCTATATAGGAAAACACAAGGATAAGATTCTCCTTGCTCCTGTAAGTGACATGAAGCTTCCCACCTAGCACGTGGACCCAGCCTGTCCCCTGTCTCTCTATCCCTAACATCCTTCACAGAAGAGATGCCAGGGAGAGCAGGCAGCAGAAGCAGAAGGGACCCTTAACCCTGCCCCACCCCCGGTCCCAGGCTGCTGCAGAAGCAACAAAGAGTTTTTGAAGTCTTGTGAGGGAAGAATGTAACATTGTTTCATGTCTTGGTCCCACCCAGAAGAGTCTGCTTAGTGAAAACCTGGCTTAGAGTAGGATAGCGGGACTTATAGAGCTGGGTATGTGGCTCAGGAGAAGGATATGCACATCCAAGATGGATTTAGTGATGGAAATTGGAAAAGCAGCACTCTCTAATGGAATTCTGAAGTCAAAAGCAGTAGAAATGTTTAGAGGCACACCAGATGATGGTCAACTCCACAGCTGGCTCATCCCAACGGGAGATTTTGCATCAACCCAACTGGTTTCCAAGCTCATGGGCTTGGTGCCTCATGGACAAAGCAAAGCTGGATCTGGCGTCTCTAATCTGGAGTCAACTGGGCCAGATGGACTCAGAGTGAGTTGGAGATTTCCCAGAAAGGAGCTAACCCAGGGGACCTGGAGCAGCCCTTACTGTTGGGGCAATAAATGAAGATCATGCGGTTATAAGACAGCTCATGTCACATTGTACTACCAAGTTTATGTCAAACTTAGGAGAGACCAAGACTCAGGTTGTTTTGGATTTGGGAGATTTGGGGTAGGGGTTGGTTAGTTTGCTTCTGTTTTTCAGCTTATGTTTTCCTTTCCAGTCGCATGTATTAACCAGGTATGCTGGTGCACACCTTTAATTCCAGCCCTTGAGAGGCAGAAGTAGATAAAACCCTGTGAGTTTGAGGCTATCCTGGTCTATATAGCAAGTTCAAGGCCAGCCAGATATACATAATGAGACACTGTCTCAATAAGCATTCAAACAAACAGAATTACTTATTTGTATGTGTGTATACTTGTACATGTGTGTTCCAGGGTGTGTACATGTGTATTCCAGTGCATGTACATGTGTGTAAGCATGGATGCAGAGGTCAGAGGAAAACCTTGGATCTTGATCCACAGAGTCGCACTCACTGTTCTTGGACCAATCAAATAAACAAGGCTGGCTGGCCAGCAAGTCCTAACTCTCTGCCTGTGTCCGTCTTCCCAGCACCTAGATTATTAACTCGTTACCACACTTTTTTAAAAAACAAGAATTCTGGGTTGGAAGTAGAGTCCCAGTGCTTGCAAGGAAAGCACTTTACGAGTTAAGACATCCCCTCATTCTCCTCTCTGGTGTTTCCTCAGTGGCAGAGCCTCGCTCAGTAACCCAGGCTGGCTCTCAGCTAATACCAATCCTTCTGACCCACCCTCCCAATTGCTGGGATTAGATATGTGCACCTGGTGTGTTTTGGGAATTTGGGATGAGCAACCATGACCCAAAGCTTCTCACAGGATTAATAAAAGGTGGAAGTAGACAGGACATGCTAGAATGTCCATGATAAGTACAAGTACTGTAAGTATAACCTCCCTCCCTCCAGACTCTTAGGCTGAGCCCCCACATCTCCCAAGAGACTTAAAGGGGGCATGTTTATTTTCCTTGAGGTAGCGACTGGGAAAGGAGCAGCTTGGTACTAAACACAGCACAGGGAGCCTCGGGCTTCCCATGGTGCCTGAGTCAGAAGGCGGAGGCATGGAGACTTCTAAGGGAATAGGGATGGAGTGTGTCTGAGGGTTGTCATCACAACCCACAACCCAACAACCTAGCAGGCAAACAGTCAAAGAGGACTCACAAGGGCCGGGTCTCGAAGGCTAACACACGCCAGTGTAACAGAATTTATGTGTCACCGAGCTGGACAGCTTGTCAGGGCCCTAAAGCCCTTTGTCGTCAATTTCATGTCTGCTTTGAAGCTGTAGGAAAGACAGGAAATTTAGCAAGACAGGGAATGCTTTGCAGATTTCCCAGTTTCCCTCCATCCCTGCCACAAGCACCCCGAGCAACTAGAACCTGAGTGTTTTCCACTTAGCTAAAGCTGTCCCTCCGGGACTAAGGCAAGGGTCACGATGAAACACAACATAACAAATGAAGCCCAAGATGATGCGGAGCCTGGGTCAGAGGTCATCATCCTGAGAACACGGGACAGATGTCAAGATCAAATACCCCTTCAGGTCTTCCTGTCAAGTTCCAAAGTGAGCCATTAGCTGTGTCCGCCCTGATTTCCCTAGCTACTGAACCTATGCAAGGGTGTCTGGGCCGAGCATCAAAGGCTTCCTCCATATTCCCAAGTGGCTCTCTCTCCTCAGACCAGAGCAGCTCCTTGGAGAAGAACACAAGGGACAGTGGAGCATCTCCTGCAGCCTATCATGGAGGGCATGCTCTGTGCCCTGATGTATTGTAGTGCTATATTTATTTTTGTACATATATGTGCACAAGTGTGTATATGGTGTATCTGTTTGGTGGTTTTGGTCTGTGTCTGTGAGCATTGGTGTGTGTGTGTGCACACACGTGTATCCAGATGGGTAGAGGTTGGAGATGGATGTTGGTCACTCTTCCCCTGATTACCTTTGAGTTCTCAACCCTCATGCTTGTCCAGCAGGTGCTCTTGCCCTCTGCTAAGCCATCTCCCCAGTCCCTGTTTGTCAGTTCTTTCCTTCTCCCTGGTCACTTCATTCCTGTTCTCTGGTTCTCTGTTCGTTGCTGTTCTCTGGTTGTTGGGAAGGGCTGGGAGGCCTGGGCTGCTGCAGGGTGACACTGGGTTCCCGACCAGCACAGCATGTCATTAACAGCTCCATGACTCTCCCACTGGGGCCCTAACATTCTGCCAAGCCAGCTATTCTGGGCCTGTCTGCCCGACTATCCCACAGGCAAAGGCTAGCTTTGCAAACTTTTGAATTCCATTCTGAAGGGTAGTGCGACAGGCAGGCTTCCACGGGTGGTGTTCCACTGCCAAGAGATCCGCCGAAGTTGCTGAAATGGGAAAGGAAACCTGGCATCCAGACCAGTCCTGGCCGCTGGCCTGTGTTCATAGCTCCTGTCCGGCGCCGCCTGTTTTCTGGGAGCCCAGGCAGGTGGAGCTCAGGATTAGCATCTTAATAGCTGCTACAGGACCTCACAACTGGAAGAAAACAAGTGTAAGGACTGTCCCTCTGCAAGGTCAGCACACTCGTGCCGTGGCCATTCACATGCCTCCTGACATTCATTCAGTCATTTAACTTCCTCGTGCCTCAGTTTCTCTATCTCTGTTGGCTCCCTCCGTTTTGGTAAAACATGTCAGTTAACACAGAGGCACAGAAAGAACCTGATGTAATATCTTACCTGATAAATAAAGTGACATCGCCCCCTGGTGGAAGGCACAGTCCTAAGCGCTTAACTACGAGCAGCTGGGAGAGATTGAAAGAAGGGATGGCCAGCGTGAAGAAAGTTATACAGAGTCACAGGAACTAAAATGTGCTGAAAGGCGGTGTGTAAGGGGCAGAGGAAGCCCTGATTAAGTGGAGGCCTGAGTGAAGGCGCACCGCTGACATGGGCGTGGCTGCCAAGGACCCCAAGGCCCAGACCCATTCTGACGTCCA